CGTGCTCCCTCAGGACTCTTCCCTCCCACATCTGTGTAGATCAGTTTCTCTGCTGCCATTAACATTCTGCTTCCCGTTGCACTACTAAGCATCAGGAAAGATGGAGGATTCTGCATTCACAAGTAGAGTGGCGACAGGGTGCTTTGTGACATTATGATGCTTTGGTAGCAATCCATTCCTCACACATTCTCCAGCTGTGCCATCCAAGCAACTTTGCTCCTTGGGCCCAGCCAAGAACACTCACTCATTTGCCTCCTGGCCAAGCTGATTGGCGACATATTGAATGTCGGGGAGTCCTAGGCAGTTGGAGATGTTGTGGCGAGGATAGTAGAACAGGAATAACAGGCACATTTCATTCAGGGTACTTGGGCCTCCCTGAGAGAAAGAAAAAAACAAAAATAATACTTGTTTGAGGTTCCCTGGAAGAGAACCAGATTGTGCAGGAACTTCAACTCCGCTTACGCTGAAAGCATTTGTGGTGGGAATAAGGGGAAATGTGGCTTCCTGCAACACTTAGTTTTCTCTGAGAATTCTAACTGGACAACACACCGCAAACTTTCCATTAGCAATCCCACACCAGAACTATAATTCCCCTGGCTCCTGACCTTTGTTTTTGATTTTTTTTCCCTCTTACCAGAAAGCTGAAAAGTTTGCTTTATCTTCCTAGCCATTGATGGAAAGTGGCTAATGGACATTGTAGACCCTGCAAGCTATTACTAAAATATTTGTATATTATAGGATAAGCATGATTTTATTTTCAAAAACTGTCTATCCACCACACAATCTTTGGCATTCAGACAAGACTTACAAAGGTCATCTCTGACCGATCTGTACTTTGATAGCGGCATTCCACCACAAATTCATCTCCCTGTGAACAAAGCAAGCAACTTCATTACAAACCTGTCAGAATATGGGGTCCCAATAACAAATGGATTATTCCCTAACTCTAACTCAAATAGATATCTTAGAATCACATACTGGTTTGAGAATAAGATGCTCCTTCAACTCTCTTGTCTCCTGAAGATTGAAATCATATTTATTGTCTTCACAGAGGATCCTCAACTGTTTTCCATTCCTGTACATGGAGACAATATCAGTGAGACAGACCATTTCTCGTACTGCTGAGAGGGATGTATTTGGGGTGCAACAACAACTGTGATCTAATAATTTCCTGACAAATGTTTCCATGGTCACTACAGCTCAAATGACAATGTGTCCATTTCTTTATAGGATTAAGAAAACAAATTTTATAGTTGTATCTTCACATTATCCTTAGTCCATCAGCATATAGTACAAAGCCTCACTTGTTAGGATACTGGCTGTTCTCTTTGGAGTAATCTGGCCTGTTTCAGAAGGCATGGGAAGGCTTCTGGGGCATGGGTCTGTGACAGGATGGTACCCCCAAGTCTCTGATCAGGAAAAAGAGAGTCAATGTCTGCAGGAGTAGGATTTGAATGAGGCTGAGGAATCCCAGCTACCTCTGGAGGGAAAATTGGAGGCAAATGTTCTGGATCAGAAACAGCGAGAGAGTTAGAAACCAGGCCTCATCCTGGGTTTACAGAATGAGGTTTATGAAGGGAGTAAGGCCCAGTGCAGGGTTGAGGGTAAAAGCTCTTAGCAGCAATAT